ATTGAGCAAGATTAGAACTGCCCAGCTGATCATCAGATGCATGAGCTAAATAAAATGTTTTTGGGTGGTTTGTAATGCATCAGAGGTTAATTGGTACAAGAAAGAACAAGCAAAATGGAAGGCTAGTATTGAGAATATGGTTGAATTAAAGGAGAATTCAGTTGCAAGGGGATTTTGACAAATAATATCCCTTAAAGGGTAAACTCATAGACATAAAGCTACATGTACAGATCTTATGCATAAAAACAATAGAAGACATGTGTATGACCACTTTTTTCTCTCTCCTCCCTTTCACATCCCTGACTCTGTGGATGTTCAATGTCATAAGAAATGTTCCAGTAATCACTTTTATAGAATGATACAATGGCAGATTGAAAGATCTTTACTCAGCCCCATTTTGATTCCTTTAACTATTTAACAGGAAGCATGAGCCTAAAGAGACAAATTGACTTGCCCCAATTCACTCCAAAAATTTAACTTACATTTGCCTTGTTTTCAGTGAAACATGTATCTTTCCTAGGTATTTTGGAAAACCTATTATGCCATACTTGCATAATGAATGTTGCATTTCGATTCCTTTTCATTCTCTTGTCTACTGACAGTGTCAGGATGGGTGGAGCCATCGCCAGAAGCTCAGTGGCAAGGAGACGATGACTTGCATGATCAGCATACCCAAAGAACTGGCTTTGAAAGGACACCTTTGCCTCAATCTTGAGGAAAAAGATGAGCCAGAATGGAGGATCCCAACGACTGTAGCAAAGCCACTGACTGTAAAAGGAAGTCGAAATGAGAAAACAGAGAGGATGAAAGAAGGGTAGCAGGGAAAATTATGATTCTATTGTTGGATCTTTTCCTCCTTGAAAGAAAATTTTGGGGATATTAATTTCATGATCTCTTTTCTGTTCTTAAGGCCTTGGGTTCTGAGGACCAGTCAGTTGGCTGCAGATCTAAGAAGGCAAACCTGATCTGTGTTCCCAGCAGGGGCTTCTCATCCTTGGAGGTGGGCTATGCCAACCAGACAGGAATTGCTCAGAGCCTAAAAAACTCTGGGAGGGTTTCCATTGTTATATTCCACCTTCTCTTACATCACCTACTCTCCAGCATCACTGTATTTGCTAGTTTCTTACATTCCTCATGCTTTTGTTCTACTGTTTCCCTAGAGCACACATTTCCTGTCTGCCTACCTGGTGAGATGCAATGGGTATCTTTAGCTTAGTTCAAGTATCACCTCATGCAAGCCTTTGAGTCCTCCACGTTGAGTTAGTTCGCTTCTCTAGTTCTCAACTTTTGATTCACACTGTTCACAGCATTATTTCTTCTTGGTGTAGTGACACTGTCATTTGGTGTTGCCAGCAAGCCTCACGTTTAAAGAGTTTGCATTAAATTTACTTCTAGGACCTAGTGTTACATTATCTGACAGGTGGCAATTCAAAGTCATTTTAAACTCTATGTTCAAACTTTTAGGTGAGTTTCAGTGTGGCTTTACTAAAGGAACAGGCAGTTTTACAGTTGGCCTTAAAAATTGTTCTCTGGTGCTAAAGAGGTGTGAACACATTGAGAAATGGGCTAGGTGAGCTAGCACTTGAAACCTTGTTACCAATCTACTTGGAGTGAGTCATTTTCATGGTAGACTGTTTTGGAAGGAGGATGACACATTTTAGAATACATAAAACTCTTTCACCAACAGCTCCCCAAGACCTGGTAGACAGATAACGTTCACAAATTCAGAAATGATGGACCTAGCCTGATAAAGTCCATGCTGCTGCTTACTTGATATGGGTGAAAGGGTATTGCTCTTCAACTGAGTCGCTTTTAAATAACAGACACTTGTTCTTGGAATATCAATCAGGTGCTTTCTATGGGAAGCACATCTCGCTATCTGTTCAGTCATGCCTTTTCAAATCCCCAATCCATTTCTAATCATTATGAAGTAGTACTCTTATTCCTAAAACGTACACTAAAATGCAATTGGAAGGAAATCTTAAAAAGCTCAAAATGTAAAGGAGTTGTTTTTGTAAAATGTGTAGTAAGGCATAATTTATTAGAATCTTCCAAAATTATCATATTTTGGCCTGAATTTTATCCATGCAGCAGATATAAAAAAGGGTGTGGTATAGAAAAATTGATAAACAGACAAATGGAGGTGTGAGTTACCTACTTAAGAGGACAGATGTTTGGAACTACTTGAATAATATCAATTTGGAAAAAACAATGTGCCAATTAACAAGGTTTTATTTAGTAAAGCAGGTGCAATTGCATGTTTAATTTTCAATATATTGTTAGTAGAGTTAAGCACTTTTCCTACTTGGAAATAATTGCAAAGAATTTGTCTTAAAATATTCCATATTTTTACCTTGTTAGGCTAAATTGCAGAGATTTTGCTGTATTTAGTCATTTGTAGGGGGAATGATTTAGCAAAGTTTTCTTTTTCTGCTTAAACTGTAGACTATTCTCCTGTGTGGAAAATGGCTGCTGAGTGTGCAAAATGAATACAAAGAACTTCAGCATGAAGACATTATTCATGATCATTTGAAATTTGCCTTCTCTGGAAAATTCTCAAATTAGGCTTATGAAGGCAGTTCGATTTAGCAAACTGCTAGTCGGACAAAGCAAACCCTTACCGGTAGGCTGGCATCTGGACTGCACTTCTTGGTTCCCACCTTGCCTTAGCAGCAACACATCTTCAGAGTGTAAGGCTCCCCACAGGTTCTTGAGCTTGTTGTGCAGAAGAACCCTGTCAGTAGAGGCAGCACCCCAGCACGCCAACATGCCAATTGCTGGCAAGTCAATTCTGACTTGTGTGTCAGAGTAGGCTGTGCTCCATAGGATTTTCAGCCTTATTTTTCAGAAGCAGTTCACCAGGCCTATCTTCTGAGGCACCCCTGGTAGGATTCCAAGTCCCAGCCTTTCAGTTCACAGCTGAGTGCGTTGACTGCTTGCACTACCCAGGAACTCCTAGTCTATCAACATAAAGGGCACCAAAGATAAGATTAGATCAGGTTAGGAGGGGTTTACAAGCCTTTGCCTTATACATTAGCCAAGGACAAAACTGTCTTTTCCTGTCTTAATCCACAGTTGGTAGGGAAAATTGGTACCTTAATAAACTGAGTGTTCATGTGAGGTGGTTTCAGGTAAGTAGCTGATGGACTTGGAATTTAGAGATGTCTGTCTATGGGTTTGTATGTGTTCGCCAGTCTCTCTCCCTCACTTGGGACTCCAGTTCCTTTTTGTATAGTTGGAATCAGAATTCCCTGGTCTCTAAAATTCAGAAGTGACAAAATGCAAAATTCTGCTTTATGGTCCAGCAGACGCATCACCATTGCTTAAACGATTTTTCTCTTTGCAACTAGAACTCTTTCACAAAGCCAGATAGTACAGTCAAGCTTCTGGAAGGAAGGCAACATTTTCATTGTGTAATTGTTGTTGTTGTTGTTGTTATGTGCTGTTGAGTCGGACCTGACTCATAGTGACCCCTCCTTGGGTTTCCAAGGCAGTATCACTATGGAAGTAGATTGCCCCATCTTCCTTCCGAGGAGTGGCTGGTGGGTTTAAACTGCCAGGCTTCTGGCTAGCAGTCAAGCGCCTTAGGCACTATGGAGTAACTTATTAAAGAGAGCCCTAGTGGAACTATTGTAATGAGCTGAAGATTTCTCTGGAAGTACCTTGCTTCTTTGATAACAACAGGAAACATTTTTTCCAGACAGGGAGGTTTAAAATATCCAGTGGAGGTATGGTATTAGGTCATAGCATTTTTATTTCCTTCTACCTAGCTCAATCAGCAGTGGCTGTGGCTGCTTTTCCATCGAAACGAAACCTGTCATCCGATAACATCCTGCCAGGTCAGACCTCCTGCCTTAGGTCTCTGAGGGAAGGCTCCAAGGTTTAAAACAATTCTCAAATTTGTGTAGGAAGTGAGACAACTGGAAGTCACAATGTTTTTTACAGAATATGAGGAAGAAATACAGACAGATACAAAAATAACAAAGTATAAAAGTCAGGCTAAGTGAAATCGAATCTGAGTAAACTCTGATTTGCACAACTGGTAGCAATAGCAAATATTTAAGAAAAAGTTATAAAAGATTATCACTGAGTATTTTTTTGTTTTTAAATTCCTTTATGGGTCTGGAAAAAGATTGTCATTTTTCACTTTTACTTGTGGAATACCTAGGCCAGGTTTTAGGAACATCAGTGCTCCAGTAGGGCACAGCAGGGTACATACAATTCATCTAACACTGAATTGGCTGTACAGTGCTTGTCATGGATTGAATTCTAACCCCCCACAAATATGTGTCAACTTAGTTGAATCATGATTCTTAGTGATTTGGCAGTTATGTAATGATACAATTTGGCAGTTATCTGATGATGTAATCACTCCTCATGATCTGATCTGATAAAGCAATCGATTATAAGGGGATTAGTAGTATGCAACACCCTTACTCAGGTCATAGCTCTGATCCGATGTAATGGTATCCAAAAAGTTTACCCTGATGGTTAGCTGAGAGTTGAGGTACAGGGAAATTTGACAAGAGAGTCTTAAAATTTGACGTCATTCATGGCTTAGGACAGAAGTGACCAACATTTAGATCTGAGACTTTCATTCCATAGTCATGTCACAGAAAATGAGAAGCCCGCTTGCCAGTGTGTGCTGGTGTCATGACTGTTTCATGCTGAGAGAACACCATCACTGCTAATTGAAGAGTCTAGGTGATTACAAAGGCTGTAGCTTGAGAAGCAATATATACCAACACCAAAGAAGGGCTATTTATTTAGAGAAGTTCACCATCAAATCACTGGACAGGATAAACAACACATGGGAAACACCAACACTTATTACAAACAAAGCGGAATCCACTGTCATTCACTGATTTGTCTAGGAACTTGCAATGTGATATTAGATAGAGCTCCCTCGAATATCTTTCAGTGGATAAGAAACTGTGAAAAATCCATCCTGTTTTTGTTTCTATCTCTTTCCATGTTTTTCTGAATTATGCTTAAGCATAATTAAATTCTCTGGCTGGAAATACGAGCCATATGTTTATGTTAGTAATAACAACACTATAAAATTTGATCATTTCTGAGCAGATTGATATATTTTCATCTGAAAGAGGGAATTGGGAAAGCTTGTATTCATTTTTGAACTTCAGCATCTTGGAGTGCAGGGACCACACAAGTTTCTAATCTTATTTTATTTAATTTCTCTACTAGTCTGACTCTGATTAGAAGCTCAAATAAAATTGTGATTCTTCTATGCCTTGATTCTGTTAAAGTATTCCTAGTCTCTCTCCTGGCACAGCAGGCATTGCAAGTAAATTAATTGTTACAAAGTGTAGCTGAGCAGCACTGGTGTTCATTGAGGTGGCTATTATACTAGATTTCCAGATGGTTGAGAAATATTTTAAAAATATATTCAACCTCACTTCATAAATACATTTTCTCAAGAGTATGGAAATTCAATGGAGAAGCACATATTTTCAAGTATTCTCATATGCACCTAGACAGCTTTGATTTTGGGAACCAGCAGGGGGCATGTAAAACAAAATGAGTAAAAAAAAAAAGTTTGCACATAGAGTAATTTTAATCCATTCCATTTTTAAATACCACAATAGATTTAATTTTCACAATAAATTAAATAGCCATATTCAGTTTACAAAATAGAATTACTTAGTGTGAAACCAGTATTTACAACCATATACACTATGTACATGACATTTCTCTTTGTTGACATACAACATGGAAGTAAAAGGACTTGACTTTCCAATGTGTGATTGACATGCTACAAGAGACACCATGGTCCATACAAGAAAACAATAGTGCAAAATCATCACAGGAACTTTGGAACAATGTCAATTTTATGAGATAAGACATTCTTTAAATAATAAGAAAATAGTATTTTCTGTTTTCATGGTACCAATTTAGCCACTGAATTGAAGAGCCAGCTTTCCCTTAGATAAAATACGTAACTGAATCCTCTACTTCCTGCGGCTTCACAGCCATTGGTACATTTTCACACATTAATCTTTTGGCTTAAATCTATGAAAATGGCAGGTGACATCTGAGTCAAAGGAAGACTAACTCTTTGAGAATAGCTGAAGTCACTTTCCCCCAATACCACTATCTCTTCTTTTAGTAAATAGCTTAAAAAGATGCAACTATGCAGAGAGCAATTTTGTTTTGTGATTTTTCAGCAGAAAAAAACTGATCTTATATTTGGTCACACACTGTGTATGTACAAGTATACATGGAAAAATGAATTGGATAGCTGTGTCTAGGAAAAGTGCATATTTTAATCTAGAGGAGACATTGTATGTCTCCAGACACAACACATAGTGTTGTATGACATATTATTTTAGGGCCAGTTCAATGTCCTCCCAGTGATCTGGTAAAATTTTTGATTAAAAGGGTGAAAGAATTTGCGCAATTTGGTAATGACAGAGGGGTCCACCTCTGGATGAATGCGCCCCTTGCTGCCCGCCAGGCACTTATTAAAGATAATGTTAAATCGCAAGCAGTAAAATCCTCTGGTAGCATTGAAATATAAATTGTATTGACTTATTCTTGGAGGAAGATTTAGGAACTTCTCCACAAGCTGAAGTTCTGGCAAAGGTTCTGTGATGAGACGATCTCCATCAACAATGTGAAATTGCTCAATTGGAAAATATTTCAGCCATCTTTCCAGATGTTTGGTGTAGATGCTGGTTCTTACTGCCTTATACTTTGTGTTCACTTCACAGGTATTAGGGTCTATTGCCAGCTTCTCAAACTTGTAATAAGTTTTGTTCTTTCTCTCCTTCCCTTCTAGCACCTGAGTGTAATCAGAAATAGCTCTTGTGGTTGGCTCCCTGACAATGATCAACAACTTGATGGATGAGTTCATTTTGTAAATCCTTTCAGGAACCTCCTCCGTGATAAAATATGCTGGGCTCTTTTCAATTGTGATTTGCTGAGGGTAGGAAAAAGGCATCTTTTTCCTATACCACTCAATGCCCTTGGCATAATTCTCATCATTGTCAAAAAAGTGGATTTCTTGGGAGGCTTTTACCACTGCTGGATGGAGGTTCAGCATCTCAAGCAGGGCCCTTGTGCCTCCTTTCCTCACCCCAATGATAATGGCCTTGGGGAGCTGCTGGACCAGATCATGAAGGCGAACCTGCTCTTTAGAAACGTTGCCTTTCCGGAACTCGTGCAGCAGACCACGCTTGAACTGCAGGGCGCGGAGCGGGAAATCAGCCTGATTGCGGGCTCCCAATCGGCTTTCAATGGGGCAAATGGGCTGCAGCCTGCAAACAAGAGAGAGACACTTGAAGAAGCTCATTGCAACTGACTTCTCATTTTTCTGATTCCCCAGTGAGTCTGAGTAAGACTTTCCGTGAATAAATAAAACCAGTAATTCCCAGGCTGGAATAATCCAGAATGAACATATGTTTGGGAGATTTTATTTTAAGCAACCCTGTATTAAATGGAGCACACATAATTGATAGGATTTTTTTCTAGTGCTCCTTAAAATTTTTATTCACCAAGCACTTAATTGACTACAGCGTGTACTTATGTTCACAGTACAGGATAGACAAGTGACACCAGTCATACTAATAGCTTTCTAACAGCTCAACAGGCCATGTCTTTTGGGTGTCATGTGGTATTATTTTCTTGCAGCTTAGCAGCATTCAAATGGCTCTTAAAATCTTTGAGATAAAATCTGTATAGAGGTCTCAGTCTTTGCCATTGACTATTTGCATCATCAGTCTGCAAAGTTCCAATTTTGGACTTGTTAATTTTCATTCTATGAGAATTTGGCCTATCTTTGGCCTTGGGGAAACATGAAGGATACAGTATTTCCTCTGGCTCACTTCCTCTTTCTACCTAAAGAGATCAGGATTATATTTTCACTTAGTTGAGTATAGGAACAAACCCAATTGGCATCACTTACTTGTATATCGTCTACCCCACCCTGGACCAGAAATCAACAAGAACCTCAGATCCTCATTGTCAAGCCCATTTAAAACAGGAAGTTGAGCTCAAGCATGAAGGAATGAAATCAGTGGATAGAGTCAGAAAGGAGTATTTCCACTTTAACAGAACTCTAGGTAATGAACAACCACTTCTACCTTTCTCTGAGAGAAAGATGTAATCAAAATAAACCAAATCTTTGCATCTATTCCAATTCATGGCAATCCCGTATGTGTCAGAGTAAAACCATACTTTATAGAGTTTGCAATGGCTGATTTTTTAGATATAGATTAGTAGGTCTTTCTTCTGAGGCACCTCTAGGTGGTCTTGAACCCCTAACATTTCAGTCTGTAGCCAAGTGTATTAACCATTTGCACCAGCCAGGTGTTCCACTAACAGTCACATTGATATTATGCTAGAGTGAATGTGTAATTTGTCAAGGCCATTGTACATAGTAAAAAAATTGAGTTTCCTTTTGGGTATGGCCTAAAACTGTGATAAGATTCATTATGATTTCCATAAATTGATCTGGGAAGGCAGGCTAGCCTACTTGGTAAAGGGATTAACATTAGTCAAAACTGGCTATTAAACCAATTCCTCCAACAGACACTTCCAGTTACCCTAATAATTGGGAGTCTGTGTCTCCCTCTCTGTGGTAATGATGATGTCTCTCACTTCTCCCAAGAGATCATTTTGTACCTTTCTTGTCTTCTGTTATGTTTTTAATTAAAGGAGATGAGAAACAACCTCAAGGTCATACCAAGGCTGTTTCACGGAACTGAAGAGAAAAGACTTGGACTGTTTTCTGTTTAAACAGCTATTAATCATAATGCTTAAGGTAAAGTATAAACATATATTTACTTATTGTATGGTATTAGTTTTCTTATAATTTTAAGAAGTCATGATCATTGCAGAAAATATGAAAAAAAAAAAAGCTATACAAAGTAACTGAGCTTACCATAGTTAAAATTTTAGAGAAAGGTAAATTTTATTTTTATAAATTTGATAGTAGGATTAATGTCAGAGCTCTAAATGGTAGATAAAATATTATGAACATATTATTATTATCAATCATAATCATAATCATATCATAATCAAAGATGTGGCCTTGGGGAAACATGAAGGATACAGTATTTCCTCTGGCTCACTTCCTCTTTCTACCTAAAGAGATCAGGATTATATTTTCACTTAGTTGAGTATAGGAACAAACCCAACTGGCATCACTTACTTGTATATCGTCTACCCCATTGATTTGTGACCTTGTTTGGGATAGCAACAATTTTTCTTTCAACTCTTCTTGGGTTCTGGTTGAGAGTTAAGCTCTAGTTTCCTCAGGTATCCATTGAATGGATTTTTCTTCTATGAATATAGAATGATAGTGGTAACATTCTTGGGAAAACTGAGCAAACAATTACTGAAATCCTCCTATAGAACTTAATTTCTTTGCAGAATACTGGTTGAAAGAGCTGACATAGACACTCTGCCCTGTTTGAAATGGAATTCCCCTGTCTCTTGAAAGGGTCCTTTCTTTTCCTTATTCCCTTCTTTCCATCTTCTACCTTAGGAGCTCATGCCATGCAGAACCATTGCAATTGGGACTTCCTAACTCAGGCTGGCAGAGAACATCACATTCTTCCTGGACTCTGGGTATAGGGCCCAGGCTAAGCAACATACAATTTTAGCGTTGGAGGTAACTGAGCTCAGCCTTCCAGAGTGGGTTGTCTCCTGTTACTTAAGGATGGGTCTAAGTAAGCATGTGTCAATTTCTAACATAATTTAGCTAGACTCTAAGGTGAGAGGTTTTGAGAAAGCCTACCAAGCAATCCAAAGAGCCCTGCTGGTGCAGTGGTTGGGCGCTCGGCTGCTAACAGAAAGGCTGGAGGTTTGAACTTACTAGCTGTTCCGTGGAAGAAAGATGAGACAGTCTGCTTCCATGAAGATTACAGCCTTGGAAACCCTATGGGCAGTTCTACTCCATCCTATAGGGTGACTATGAATCAGAATCAACTCAAAAACAATTGAGTTGGATTCTCTTGGGTACCAGGCAATCTAATTTCTACAAAAACTTCAGATTAGAGCCTAGAGACAGGCCTAAACATGACAACCATCATCAGTTAAATAGTCAATGCATTAATGATCATTAAATCAATAACTCAATAAAAAAGTAAATGATTGGATGATAATTAAAGATACTGGGAAGAAGTTGATATTAAAGGTTCATTATGGACTTTGCAAGTGGTATATCCTCAAGGCTTTTCACTAATACCCAAGTATTAGGTCAGACATAGGCTCTCAATTTCACATTTTTCATGGTAACAAGTAAGGAGCAGTAAATTTACTAAGGAATTTTGAGTTAAAAAGCATCAAGAGAGTTCACTTTGCCAATTAAAATTGATACTGACTGATGAAAAATAAGGACCACTGCTATATTCTTTGTTAAATATCCAAGTGAAAAAATGTACAGATTAACTTAAGTCTTGGAAGGAAAAAGAAAACTGGCAGAGTGACATTTTCATTTTAAAGTGTGGCTTCATTTCCATGGACAATGGGAAATGGATTCATGGACAACACACTTCTATTTTGAGCGCAAGCAATCAATTTTAAAGGGCAAAGAAAGAAGCTTCACATTTCAGGACTTCTCTGTGCTTTCTACTGACACTGGGTGCAGGACAGTCCAAAGGCATTCAGAGTGAAGCCAGCTGATATTTCTAGACTTCTGTAGGTTCAGTACCTCTCAAGTGTTTGCCTCGTTATAGCCAAACTCTAGCTCTGTAATTTCCTCCTGTGGATTTTCCTTTGCTTTCTGGGTAATTACTGTGAGGGACAGCCTCTTTGTCTGTACATTCAGTTCCTGAAAACTGAGCTAATTAACATAGTTAAAACTCTCCAAGCCTGCAGCCATCTTTTCAGTGGAATGGAGTCCACACTTCATGAGCTCCTTTACAGGCTCATACGTAATTTTAACTCTCCTGGTATCATATTAATTGTCTACTTATAAATTTCAAAATGAAAACACATAAATACATCACCACTGTTTTGCTACAGCAGAGGTCAACATCTGATGCATGCAGACCACATTGAGCATTTTTAGTGTACACAGCTTTATCCCTTTTCTGAAAACAAGTGTCAGTGCACACAGAATACTAATGAATCTTGACAAGCACCTTGGTTTGAGCAACTTGGATCTCTTTTTGTTAAAGATTCAATAAATAAAAATCAATACTGCAGAAAGGCATGTTTCTTGGGAATTTAAAAGGAGGAAAGCAAATGGATAAATATAAAATTATATCCCAAGGAGGTTTAAATCAAGAGACATTTCAAGTTACATGGGTACAAGCAGAGGTTTAATCACCTACCTATCCAAGCTCCCAACTCTGGCAACTAGATACAGGAGACTGCCAACAGCAAGGCTTCCCAGGACGAGGAGTTTCTGTCTCAGCCACGCCTGCTGTTTGAATAGCATGGCCCTCCATCAATCTTCAGGACTTCTGCAGCCTGAGAAACAGGGACATAGGGGGCTCATCAGCAATCGTCTGCTACAAGCTCTGTTGATTGGCACGAAGCCAACCATGGTAGAATGTAGGTAATTAAGTGGCATCACACTAAGGACATACCTCATACCAATCTTGACCACTTTTATGGTGTAACAGGTATTTGGCAAAACTTACCTTCCTTTTCTTGGCCATAAGATCAAACCCCCTACTAAATCTCGTAATTTATGAATTCCAGAACACTTAACTGTGCTCGTGAGGAACCTGTACATAGACCAAGAGGATGTCATTCAAACAGAACAAGGGAATACTGCATGGTTTAATATCAGGAAGGGTGTGCCTCAGGGTTGTATCCTCTCACCATATTTATTCAACCTGTATGCTGAGTGAATAATTCAGGAAGCTGGACAATATGAACAAAAACATGGCATCAGGATTGGAGGAAGAATCATCAACAACCTGCGATATGCAGATGACCCAGCCTTGCTTGCTGAAAGTGATGATGACTTGAAACTAATGATGAAGAGCAAGGACGATAGACTTCAGTATGGATTACACCTCAAAATAAAGAAAACGAAAATCCTTAGAACTGGACTAATAAGTTACATCATGATAAATGGAGGAAAAATTGAAGTTGTCAGGGATTTAATTTTATTTGAGTCCATAATCAACACTTATGGAAGCAGCAGTCAAGAAATCAGATGTCGTATTGCACTGGGCACATCAGCAGAAGAGTTCTTTAAAGTGTTAGAAGCAAAGATATCACTTTGAAGACTAAGGTGCACCTAACTCAAGCCATGGTATTTTCAATCGCTTCATATGCATGTCAAAGCTGGACAATGAATAAGGAAGACTTAAGAAGAGTTGATGCCTTTGAATTACGGTGTTGACAAAGAATACTGAAAAAAACATGGACTGCCAGAAGAAAGAACAAATCTGTACTGGAAAAAGTGCAGCACAAATACTCCCTAGAAGTGAGAATGGCCAGATTTCATCTCACCTACTTTGGTCATGTCAGAAAGGACCAGTCTTAGAAGGATATCGTGGTTGGTATAGTAGGACTCACTGGCCTTGAGTCAGATCCAATTCATAGCAGCCCCTCCTTGGGTTTCTGAGGCGATGTCACTATGGAAGTAGATTGCCCAATCTTCTTTCTGAGGAGTGGCTGGTGGGTTTGAATCACCAGACTTCTGGTTAGCAGTTAAGTGCCTTAGGCACTAGGGAAGAAACTTCAACAAGATGGATTGACACACTGGCTACAACGGTGGGGTCAAGCACAGCAAGGACTGTGAGGATGGTGCAGGACTGGGTGTGTTTGTTCTGTTGTACACAGGGTCATGATGGAGCTGACTCGACGGCACCCCACAGCAACAACAACAACTAAATCTAGGGCGAAGTTCCTAACTAGATAGAACCTGTTACATAAATGTGAAAGTAAATGAAATGCATATATATTTTGAATCCGAAAGATGTACTGCACACACACACACACATATACACACACACACATGTATATGTGCAGCATGTGTTTCAGAGTTAAAGAATAGTGATAAAATAAGCAACTTGAGGTTTACTTGCTCTGTAACTACTGAACTGAAAGCTCTGTTCCAGAACAAAAGAGCAAATGTGGAAATTGAAATTTGTTGAATAAATGATCACTGGGGATTACAAAACAAAGTATGCTGTTTTTTGTTTTGTTTTAATTGTGAGTGCAGAAAGGGGACCGCAAAAGTTAAAGACTTACCAAAGGGTCAGTGGCAGCCATCAGGACCCCACAATTTTGAGTCGAATGGCTCTGAAGAAACCTGATGTTTCCCTTCATCTCCTGTCCTCAGGCCTGGATTCCAAAAATGTGCTCAGACTAGATACCTTCACTCTGTGGTCTCTTCCTGGTTCTCGATGAATTTAAATATGTTTGTTGCTATCTGGTCTTCCTCTTATATCATGGAAGACCCTTACTTTGAAACTTCACATTTTTATACCTGAAATAAGGCCATCTGAAGACTATAGAGTTTTACTAGTGCTGTTATTAAATTTTTTGGGAAAATAAAAGCACTTAATTCAGTCTTTCTTATTAAAAATAAATCCAACCCCGTTTTCAAGATAAGATACTTTGCTTCTTATTGGAACTTTAAATAGTAACCCAAGAAGAGAGAAACTACAACAATCAATTGTTTTGCTGCAGTGGTACCTCCATGTTTGCAATGTAAAGATTTTTCTCTGTGCAAAAAGACATATCCTAGGATTGACTGGTTGATCTATTCATTTACTCATCAAGAATTTACTGAACACCAGTAGTCTTCCCAGCTATTGTACTAGGTTTATGGAGGATTCCAAAAAAAAAAAAAAAAGATACTGCAAGAATTTTAGCTATTAGAAAAGTAACAAGTGATTAGGGAGTCATGAAACAACCAGAGAACACAACTCAATTCAGGATTATGTACAAATAAATGCTAAGGAAAGACCATTAGGGAAAAGGCCAGAGAATGTGGGTTCCATGGGAACACTTTCTTGTAGAATATAGTACATAACATAGAGAGGATGCTGCAGGAGGAGGAGATAATAGCAGCATTCATTCAACACACTGTTGAAAATATTTATGGAATATCTCTTATGTGCTAGGCTCTGTGCTGGGTGGTATAGAGATAATAGCAAACTAAACAGACATGTTTCCTGCGCCATGGGAGTCCATAGTCTATTAGAGAAATATCACAACAAAGTTATCAAGTTTCCTACTGCATTGCACTTATAGTCAGGTATATATTAGGTTATTAAAGCTTACTAAATATGAGATCATTATTTTTTTCTACTGCTACTGAGGTTTCTCTCAGTTTCAAAGGCCCAGTCCTCCACCTATGGAGTCTTCCTTCATATTAGGCCCAGTTACCATAGAGGTTTTCCTCTGTGGGATAAACTGTTAACTTCCAGTCTAGTTTCTTTATGTCTGTGATGGCTTAAATATGTCCACTGGGGAGCGAACCCTCTTTGGGTGTTTGAGGCAGTATCACTATGGCAGTAGATTGCCCAATCTTCCTTCCGAGTGGCTGGTGAGTTTGAACCACCAGGCTTCTGGTTAGCAGTGAAATGTCTTAGGCATTATGCCACCAGAGCTCCCATTCTCTGTTTGGGGAATCAAATTTCTTCAGTCTTCTGTTTGCAGGTGTGAGGTGAAAGGAATCACCTTGCAGATGGCCATTTGATGTTTGTTTTTGGTTCTTTCTAACCATACCACCACCTGAGGCTCATGAATAGGGGCTGACTAAACCAAGAGAGATAACTTGAAGCCAATGCTGATTAAGCCTATCATGGACATAGTGAGGCTAATAAAGGCATTGAAAGATGGAGTCTTGCATGAGAAGCTTACTGGTTGGGGACCATGCATGGGAGAGAGTAGTTTATCCTTTCTTGGGATGTAGAAGCTTCATGTTGTGGCCTCTTGCAGACCTCACCCTATGTGTCTCTTTGTATCATTTTTGGTTGTAATAAATCTGTAGTAAGGCTAGTATGCTCTGTGTGAATTTTGTGAGTCATTTTAGTGGACCAATGAGCTCACAGGGGCACTGAGAGCCAACAGGGACTGATGTCTGCCTATATGGCAGTCTGTGTGAAGTCAGTCCTAGCTATGGATGACTGGGGCTGAAAGATGGTGTTCATCTAAGGTGAGAGCTCTGACCTAGCTCTGAGTGGCTGGGGCTGAGAGAGAGGGTGTTATGTGAGTGGCTGGTGATAAGAATGAAGAAGTAGGAAGGTGAGGACTGGATCCATTTCCACATTTTGGGGACTGGATGCATGCCAAAAATTACCATGCAATTAGCAATGAAGGTGGGATTTACCTACCATGCCCTTGCTTAGAGCAGCAGGGCTATCCTAACACCTTCTGCAGCAATTTTGAATGAGGCTCACTAGAAGACAAGAAGTGGAATCTCTTTCTGTTTTGTAACTGGAATCTGACTGTATGCTAACAGCCAATATCATAGCAGTCCCTGAATAAACCTTGTTCTGGGAAAACCAAGGATACATAGTTAATTTAACATTCAAGATACCTCTTTGGTTTTCAACAACATCATGAGGTGCTCAAGAATCTGCCAGGATAATCTTAATAACTGGAAGTTGTTGTTCTTGGTCCAGGAATACAAGCCAAAAGAGAAGCCACACAACTCTTAATCCTTATGGACAATGCTGCTAAACTGGGTAGAAGTAGTTAAACTTACTTCTTCAATAAGTCCTGTTTCTGTAGCTACCCCAGCTTGAATGGATGTTTTCACAATCTTTGATCAGAGATTTCATACTGGTAATAGGCAACTTATATAAAATTAATTTTTTTTAAAATTTGTTATTTCTTTTTCTAAAACAGGCTAAAGACCTATGATGACATTTAAACTCTCATCTCCATTTCATCTTTCATTTGTCTATCATTTTGCATGCCAACAACAGCACTATTAGTTTCTCCAGACTACTAAAATTTTAACAGACATGGCATCTTAGCTGAACAAAGCAGAGTCTCTGAATAACATAGAACATGGTCCAAAACAACAAACTGAAGAGACATCTGGCTGTTTTTCCAAAGTGGCTTTAAGCAAAGAAAGGAAGGATTCCCAAGATGAAACAAAGAAATAAGAAGATTCAGAAATAATAATAAAGATATGCTCAAGTGTTACTCAAAAGCTTATAAACATGGTACCACAAGCTCCTGGTATCAGCATAGTTCATTAAAAATGACTGAAGTTATATAGAATTATTCCAAGGAAATCATAATGCTCTTTGAGTATTAGATCATTTGTCCTGGGTAACAGCCTTATGAGATGGACAGGAAATGTATTTATTGAGTACTATGTTCTCTGTACTTTATTTAACATTTATTAACTCATGTAATACAACAGATCTGTGAAGTATTAACAACTATATTTCTCTTATGGAAACTGAAGAGCAGAGAGTAGAATAGACCATTTGCCCAAAGGTAGTAGCTGGTAAATGCAGGAAAACAAGCGAACACCCAAACGTGTTA